TTGCGCAGGTGTTTTCTAAAACTTGTAGAACTTTTTGTTCTCCATTTTTTGGCATTATCACAAAAAATGCACAAAACCGTTTACAAGTACTCACATTTTAGCGATCGTCTACATGGACAGTTTGGTCTCAAAATGATCTCAGAACTGTAGTAAATTGTAGAAATATAATTGATAAAACTACTGTTCTAGTATCAAGTTAGCAGAAAAAAAGTAATAAATTGAGTAAATAAAGCAAAACTGTAAAATTTGTAAGAAAGTTAAATTAAAATTTGTCATATTTTAAATCTGTTATTAGAATTACCTCAAAAAGAGCACTTTTGGTAACCTTTGCCATCGGTCCAACTGTAAAAGCAAACTTCTCGGTGCCGTTCAACGTCAAATAGTGCGAGTCAATCTTTAGTTTTAAGAGAGGGTAAGAGCTTCCGGTCAAACGCGACTGTGAGCAGAACAGTAAGTTTTTGGAGGGAATATGAATCAGTTCGCTGTAAATCATCAACGGTAAAGTTGTAAAAGTGCAGAAAATGACTTGAAGAGCGATGACTCCACTCAGGAGCATCTTTTCTTTTAAAACAAGAGTGTCAGACTTTACAATAAACGATGCTAAAGAGTAGATGTTTAGGCCAAACATGGAGGTCATTGTGAAAAGGAGAACAGTAGAGAGGATCTCATGGTTGCAAATTATCAAGTCTTTGATAAAACGAAAGTTAAAAGAGAAAAATTTTCTGATAAAAATAGCCAAAGTTGGAATAGTTTTCTTGTTATGCCTTGTTTTTGTTGCTAATTTTTGTTTCAAAGCTCGGTTTGAAAGCACTTGTTGTTGACAATGAACGTAGGCAATGAGATAGAGACAGTGGACTAAAAAGAAAGAGATGCGAATCATGTTGAAAACGCCATACATGCCCAGAGAGGCGTCAAGGATAAAGTGAAAACTTAAGTAGGGAGAGGAAAACAAGCCTATCACTACCAGACCGTACCAGGAGATGGCAAAAACCAGCAAAAACCCAAAAAGTGAAAGAAAGATTATAATAAAAAAGTCAAAAGTAAAAGAGAGTGCAATGGCTCGAAGACGAATCGATCGCTCTAGGTAGGAAAAATGCACCATCTGCTGAACGTTATTCAGCTTGATTTTCCTTAGCAAAAGTTTATTTTTCCAAAAAAACAATTTATTTCTGAAATTTAAACTTTCAAACAGCTCTTGATTCAAAACAAAAAAGTGCAGTTTGTTAGTTACCAGCAAGTCGTGGGACAGCTGAAAGGTATGACTGTTGCTTCCAATAGTGAAACTGACCAGCCAGTCAAGGTAGATCATCAGTAGGGGCGCTGGAATAAAAGCAATCGCTAGTGGACCATCAATGAGGCCGGTAGAGACAAAGAGGCCCAGTGTGAGGTCATAACAAAAATAAAATTTCTTTTCAAAGTTGCCGCCAGAAAGTAATAAAATGGAAATTATGATGTATCGAATTGATATCATAAAAAGGTACAGGTAAAAGAGCGTTTTAAAAAAGCTCAATTTGGGAGATGCTGAGTGATTGCACTTCACAATGTTGGTCACATAATTTGATGATATGGACAATAAGGAAGATATATCGAAAGAGTTTTTAAAAAACATTTTTAATTTTTTAATAAAGTTTTAATTTTATTTTTAAAATGTAAAGCTATTTTACGTTTGTTTTTTTGTAACTTACGACTTATAAGTAAACAAACATTTTGAATACTAAACACATTAAAATTTTAATTGACAACATGTTTGGAAAACGTTTTAAAAATCATTCACAAAACAAATAAAAAAGTTATTTTGTAATACTTTTAAAGTTGTTTGTCACTATTTTTATTTTATAAATATTTAAAACTGTCATGTCAACTATCAAATATAATAAATTGTTGTCTTAAAGTTGAGTTTTATTACAAAATTTAAAGTTTTTGAGGTCACAGTTAGTGTTTTAAAAAAGATTTTTATTGTAAAACTAATTTTATATTTTGCATGATTTTTATTTTTAAAAATGTTTGCTAAAACTTGTAGAATTTTTTGCTCTCCTTTTTCAGCACTGACATAAAACTGCACAAAATCGCTAACACGTACACACACATTTTAGCGAGCTTTTTTACGTGGACAGTTTTGTCAGCTTAAATTTGTCAGCGATTTCTCAATAGGAGGAAAAGATGCCGTACGCCACTCAGAAGATGGTGAAGTACATGAAGGAAAAGGGCATGAGCAGCAGCGGCGGCGGCGAATCAACCGACAGCTCCATTATCTCCAGCGCCGAGGAGAAGAAGAAGATTCGCGACCTGCCCAGCTCAGTTGATCCGGCCGATGATGACGACAGCAGTCCCAAGCGATCTTCCAGCGGCAGCAGCCTCCGCAAAAAGTCCTCCACCAAAAAGGCAAAGTCAAAGAAGGCCAAGTCGAAGAAGAAGAGCAAGTCCAAGTCTCGCCGCGGCAGCAGCAGCAGCCGCAAGAAGTCGCTGGTCAAGCCAAGCAGCTCCGGCCTGAAGAAGAAGTCGAGCAAATCGTCGAGCAAGCGCAAGTTCAAGATGGTGGCCAACGCTGAGCTGGCACTGGCGCCGCTGCAGGAGATGGGCGGCGTCCCTGGCACGGCCAACTACGACGAGCTGACCTTCGACGAGAAGAAGGTCCTCTTCCTGAAGACGCTGCTGACGGCCAACATTGGAAAGCTGAAGCGCACGCCGGCGACTGAGCCGCCCGAGGAGGGCGAGCAGAGCTTCCGCCTGTACAGCATCGACGAGGAGAAGCCGCTGTGGACGGGCAAGCCGCACTCGGCAAAGGCGCTGTACGTCGCCACGCACCAGTCATTTCCGCCGGAGATTCAGGTGGTCTGCAAGCAGTACGACGCCAAGCTGTACAACCCGAAAAGCTCACTCTTTCTCAAGGTCCTCCGCCACCTCGGCAAGGAGCACCCCAGCATCATTCAGGTAAACAAGAGAAAAGAAATGTATGTTTAAGTTCATTTTTAACTCCAGTTTTTTAGACCTGGAACGTCGTCAGCAAGGACGCCCTGGTGTACGTCTTCCAGGAAATCGGCCCCTTTGGGACACTGGCCGATCTAGTGAAGAAGAAGAAGGCCCCACTGGAGGAGAAAGACTGCCAGCTGGTCGCTTGTCAGCTGCGTTCCGGCATGGACTTTTTAGGCGACATGGGCATTTCCCATCGAGCTATCGGCCCTCGCCACCTGCTGATAGTGCACCGGGAGACGCAGCTGCGCGTCAAGCTGACCGGCTTCCGCTCGGCGGTCATCTACTACAATGAGCTAAAAGATGAGATCATCTTCCAGCCGTGTCTGCCGCTTAAGGCGGCTCGCAAGAACGGCGTCGAGGACTTCAACGCCCCCGAGTCGTACGGCAACCGGAAGAAGGAGCAGTTTGACCCGGTGGCCGCCGACGTCTTCTCCGCCGGCGCCACGCTCTACCACCTGCTGACGGGCGGGGAGTTTCCCTACGACGTCTCGGAGAGCAATCCCGAGGTGGAGGCGGAGATACTGAAGAATGTCCGCGCCGTGCCGAAGCTGTCCCACGAGGGGAAGAGCGCCCTGGCGAAGATGCTCACCTCCACTGCCTCAAAACGCCACTCGGTGGAGCAGCTGAAGAAACACCCGTGGTTTGAGGAAAAGTGAACTCACAGAAAATAGTTGTTTTGAGATGCAACTCTCCCCGGGCTGTTCATCTCCTGCTCATCACTATTTTATCCTTTTTATCTTTTTTTCATTGTAATTTTGCACTTGTTTTAAAATTATTATACTGTTAAAAGTATTTTAGAACAGGTGTTTACAGTTCTAAAAGTGTTGATTTTTTTGAGAATTTTTGATGACGTACAAAAGGTGCTGTTTTTAGCTTTAAATTATTCATCCAAAAAATTGTGGTTATTTTGTTTGACGTCAACACTTGTAAACTTCTTCTTTCTGAGCAGTTGACTTTTTTTTGTTTGAGGACTTGTCTAACTTTCAGCTATGGGAGGCGGTGTGAGCAAAGGTTTGTAACTTTCTTTTCGTTATTTCTGTTCTTGCCTGACCTTCCTTTTTAAATTTCAGATGAGAAAGAGGCACCGGAGGGGAAGAATGATTCGTCTTCAACTTCTGCTTCGAGTGAAAGTTCTCCAGGCTTTTCAAACGTTGAAGGCAAAGAAGGTGGAGGAGCTGAAGAAGGGGATGATGACGAAGAGGATGGGGATGAAAGTGGTGAAGACGGAAAAGATGACGATGGAGATGATGAGGACGAGGACGAAGATGAGGAGGGAAAGGATGATGGAGGAAAGAGTGGCGAGGGAGACCAGGACAGTAAAGAAAATGGTAAAGAGGGAAGCGCTCGTGATCTCTCAATGTCCAAAAAGGTTTCTCAAGCACCACCACCACCATCCAAACAAGAATCGGTCGATTCTAATTTAATTTGTCCCTTTCCCGGTGAAGACCCTAACAAAAAGAAAAGGATTATTCAAAGAAATCCCACCAATGTGTCGTCAAAGACGTCTTTGTCATCGAAGAAAGGAAAGGTATCGAAAACGGTGGCTTCCCCGGCCTCGATGAGCAAGAAAACCATCAGAACTAAGCCAAAGGTGATCAAGAAGAAGGCATCTAAGAAGAAGAAAAAACATAGTAAGGCTTCTAAAAAGGGTTCAAAGAAGAAGGGCAAAAAGAAGAAGAAAAAGACAAAAAAGAAAGGCTCAAAGAGTAAGAAAAGCAAGGGCAAGAAAAAGTCAAAGAAGAAGTCTTCAGGGCAGGTGTCGGTAAAGAAAGTGCCGTCAAAAAAGGAAGCTTCGAAAAAGTCGAAACCTCTAAGCAAAAAGAAGTCTTCTTCTTCGGCAAAGCCAAAAAGCATCAAAGCAAGCAAGAGCAAAGAGAAGAAGCAGGGCACCATCTCCAAGGACCCTAAACTGACCCC